AAAAAAAAAAAAAAGAAAGGTGATTGGATTGCAGACAGCATACAGAGACCAAATGGTGAGAGATTTAAGAAATAAAAATATAAGACACCTAAATGTAATGAATTTCATAGAAACAGTGAACACTTAAAATTATATATTTAATACATATATCTTCAGTTCAGTTCAGTTCTGTTCCTCAGTCGTGTCTGACTCAAATGTCTGACCCCATGAACTGCGGCACGCCAGGCATCCCTGTCCATCACCAACTCCCGGAGTCCACCCAAACCCATGTCCGTTGAGTCAGTGATGCCATCCAACCATCTCATCCTCTGTTGTCCCCTTCTCCTCCTGCCCTCAATCTTTCCCAGCATCAGAGTCTTTTCAAATGAGTCAGCTTTTCGCATCAGGTGGCCAAAATATTGGAGTTTCAGCTTCAACATGAGTCCTTACAATGAACAGTCAGTACTGATCTCCTTTAGGATGGACTGGTTGGATTTCCTTGCAGTCCAAGGGACTCTCAAGAGTCTTCTCCAACACCACAGTTCAAAGCATCTTAGATACATATTTTATGCATGTTGATTATATGCATATACATATCTTACTATGTACAGATACTTTCACAAGTACCTGTACCTTACTTTCTTGTACTTTGAAGATAATGTACTTTTTATAAATTGAAGATTTGTGGCCACTGAAGTTAATGTTTACCACATTTAAAAAATATTTTAAAATAAAGGTATGCACATTATTTTTTTACAGAATGCTCTTGCACACTGAGTAGAGTGTAGTATAACATAACTTTTACAAGCACAAGGAAACTAAAAATTTGTATGTGACTCCGTTTATTGCCAGTTCTTTTTATTGGGTTGTCTGGACTCAACCAGAGATAGTTCCAAAGTATGCCTGTGTGGGTGATAGTATTTGATTAATGAATGAATCTACAGTTTGGGTTATATCACTTATTTTATTTTGTTGGTTGTGCTGTGCAGCTTGTGGGATCTTAGGTCACCCATTAGGGACATAACCTGAAATCCCTGCAGTGGAAGCAGGGAAGTGGAGCCCTAATGACTAGACCACCATGGAATTCCCCATACCATTCAATAGTTATGAAAATGCACCATTTTCTTTCCTGGAGAATTACTCACATTCTGGTTTCAGTTAATGGTGCTTTCAGTTCAAATGTGAATCTATCCCTCCTGTCCACTATGAGCTGGTGGTTGATCTGGAGGCTTGATTACATTCTGATTCAACTTTTCATCGAGTCTTGCCTATCACAGCACATGGAGTAGCATAGGATATCTGGTTGTCCCGGAAGTAAGGGAAGGATGATAATCAGGTGAGGTCAACCTTTTCCATCAAAGTTTCACCAGCAGTTTCAGTCTCCATGACTTGGATCCTGCACCTCTAATTTCATCACGGCTCTCAGTTTGGTGATTTTCCTACTTCTGTTCAACCTCCTCCATCTATTTTAAAAAATATACTTGCTATTTTTCTTATTTGGCTGCACTGGGTTTCAGTTGTGGCACCTGGAGTCCTTCATTGTGGTGTGAAGACTCTCCCTGTGGCAGGCAGGCTTCTCTTTAGCTGTGATGTGCAGGCTCAGTCACCCCCCAGCATATGGGATCTTAGTTCTCTGACCAGAGATTAAACTCATGTTTTCTGCATTGGAGGGTGGATGCTTAACCACTGGACCACTGGGGAAGTCCCCTGTTGCATCTAGTTTTAATTCATCTAATAACTTGCTACTCTGTTTCTTTTTTTAAATTATTATTTTATTTATTTATTATTGGCTGTTCTGGGTCTTTGTTGCTGCATGGGCTTTTCTGTAGTTGTGATGAGCAAGGGCTCCTCTCTAGTTGTGGTGCACAGGCTCCTCATTGCAGTGGTTTCTCTTGTTGCAGAGCATGGACTCCAGGGCATGCAGGCTTCAGGAGTTACGGCTCCCAGGTTCTAGAGCGCAGGCTCAGTAGTTGTGGCCCATGGTCTTCATTACCCTGAGGCAAGTGGGATCTTCCTGGACCAGGGATTGAATCTGTGTCTCCTGCATTGGAAGGTGGATTCTTTACCTCTGAGCTATAACAGAAGCCTGCTACTAGTTTCTTGACCTCCATCCCTCCTTCACTCTGTATCAGTTGCTCAATTCCGCGACCAATCCTCTACTTCATTATTACCAAATGTCTTCAATGTTTGTAATCTCAATATCATGCATTCTGTTTTGCAACAACTTAATCTTGTCTTTTCAGTTTCACTTCCCATTTTTCAGTTCCACCCAACTGTAATCATTTATCAACAAACCATTACTTCCCACCCTGTCTACCCTCCTCTGGCAATGCAAATGTTTTTTCCAATTAGGAATTTTCTCAGTACTTCCCAGGTGGCTCAGTGGGTAAGAATCTGCCTGTCAATGCAGAGGACATGGGTTTGATTCCCGGTCCAGGAAGATTCCACATGCTGTGGAGAAACAAAGCCTGTGTGCCACAAATACTGAAATCTGCATGCTCTAGGGCTCACAACAAAGAGTAGCCCCCACTCTCTGCAACTAGAGAAAGCCCACCCATACCAGTGAAGACCTAGCACAATCAAAAATAAATAAAATTATTAAAAAAAGAATTTTCCTAATCAACTCTACTGTGTAGCTCTGAGAGCCTGAGACAGAAAAGTCAAGAAAAATGATTATTTTCACAATTGACTCTATATCTCAATAAAGCCACAGGAAAAGTACAAATGAGCATATCCCTTTATCATTATGAAATGATCCACGTCTTCTGTTATTACTCTCTTTTTCTTAAAGTCAACTTTGTTTGATATTAATGTAGCTATGCTAGCTTTCTCGTGTTACTGTTTGCACAATATATTTGTTCTTTTTGTTTTACTCACAATATATTTGTGTCCTAATATTTCAAGTGCAATACTGGACACATGTATTGTTACCTGAGTTTACTTCCCATATGGGAATTTCTTGTGTTTTCACTGGAAACAGGCAGGAGGAGGAGCTTCTTNAGGCAGAGGAACCAGAGATCAAATTGCCAACATCTGCTGGATCATCAAAATAGCAAGAGAGGTCCAGAAAAACATCTATTTCTGTTTTATTGACTATGCCAAAGCCTTTGACTGTGTGGGTCACAACAAATTGTGGAAAATTCTTAAAGCGATGGGAAGACCAGACCTTCCAACCTGCCTCCTGAGAAATCTGTATGCAGGTCAAGAAGCAATAGTTAGAACTGGACATGAAACAATAGACAGTTCCAAATCAGGAAAGGAGTACATCAAGGCTGTATATTGTCATCCTCCTTATTTAACTTCTATGCAGAATACATCATGAGAAATGCTGGACTGGATGAAGCACAAGCTGGAATCAAGATTGCTGGGAGACATATCAAAAACCTCAGATATGCAGATGACACCACTCTTGTGGCAGAAAGCAAAGAAGAACTAAAGAGCCTCTTGATGAAAGTGAAAGAGGAGAGTGAAAAAGTTGGCTTAAAGGCCAACATTCAGAATACTGAGATCATGGCATCCAGTCCCATCACTTCATGGCAAATAGATGGGGAATCCAATGGAAACAGTGAGAAACCTTATTTTTTTGGGCTCCAAAACCAATGCAGATGGTGACTGTAGTCATGAAATTAAAAGATGCAAGCTCCTTGGAAGAAACATTATGACCAACTTAGCATATTAAAAAGCAGAGACATCACTTTGCCAACAAAGTTCTGTGTAGTCAAAGCTATGGTTTTTCTAGTAGTCATGTATGGATGCTAGAGTTGGACCATAAAGAAAGCTGAGTGTCAAAGAATTGATGCTTTTGAACTGTGGTGTTGGAGAGGACTCTTGAGAGCCCCTTGGACTGCAAGGAGAACCAATAAGTCCATCCTAAAGGAAATCAGTCCTGAATATTCTCTGGAAGGACTGATGTTGAAGCTGAAACTCCAATACTTTGGCCACCTGATGCGAAGGACTGACTCATTTGAAAAGACTCTGATGCTGGGAAAGATTGAAATCAGAAGGGGATGACAGAGGATGAAACGGTTGGATGGCATCACTGACTTAATGGACATAAGTTTGAGTAAACTCTGGGAGTTAGTGATGGACAGAGAGGCATGGTGTGCTACAGTCGATGGGGTTGCAAAGAGCTGGACACGACTGAGTGACTGAATTGAACTAAACTACTAACCCAACATCAGACAACCTATTTATCTCTTTCTTGCCTTAAGGAGACCAAGACATATAGAAAGCATCATTAACCAAGAAGACAATTACCTCCCCATCAACCCCCATGGGTCCAAGACCCCCAGCCTAGGTATAGTGGAGCCTCACCTGAGGACAAGCACAGAAAAAGTCGCAAGGATATTACTAAATATTATCCCAGTTGACATGTGTTCCACCATATGTCGGAGGTCCAAGAGTAACGCCACGATGGCTAGAATGAAGGCACAAACAAGGTGGAGAAGTGGGTGAGAAATCACTAGAAATATCCAAGTTAGGAAATTGATTGGAGAAGGAGTGTGTTTCATTTATTCACCTGCGAGGTTTACAGAAGACATTATGGCCATGACAGGGGTGCCTGTGCGGGCATGGATTTGGGCAAGGCCCCGGAAAAGGAGCCCGTCCTTGGCCATTGCACAGATCAACTGAGACATGTAAAATATGGTGCCCAGGAGGCTGGAAGAGAAAATGGAAACACATGTGCGGACTTGGAGACAAGGGATAGCCTAGGCCATCTCCTCCCTTGTCTACATGGGGTAAGGTGTCTTGCTCTCTTGTCCCTCATACCAAGGGACAGATACCTAAGAATCTGACAGTAGACAGGGAGAAAACCATGGCACTGACCTGTATAAAAGAGCACATAAGAAGACAACAGCCATGATGTATCTGGCAGGGTCCCACCCGACATGGAGAAAAGCCTGTGGTAAGGGGCTGAAAGGATGAATCTGGTAGTAGGGCACCATGAGGGTGATTGATGCCGAGACACCAGAGTACGCCAAAAAGCTGACAAAGATGGAGATCACCATGCTCAAAGTGATGGAACGCTGAGGATTTTGGGCTTCTCTCCCTGCAGGGTGGGTGGAAGTACTGGGTCAGGAAAACACACTGGAGTGAAAGCAAAAAGAAGAAAAAAAATCCCCTTTCCTCTTGCATCTTCCAAAGCAGGTTAACCATCTACCAACCCCTGTGCCCAAGGGCAGCTGAAACTGTGCCCAATCCCCTGGTGGGACCCACAATAGCCATGTTACCTTTCATGACAATGCCATCAAAACCAACAAATGAGTAGAAGCATAGGGCTGCTCCTCGGAGAATCCCATCAAAGCCAAAGGGCACGAACCCTCCAGAACCGAGAGGGCCCAAGCTATGGTGAGAGAAGGAATAAGGAAGAACATGGGTGGGGTGTGTTCAGTCATCTCTACTGGATTCCTCCCTTCATACCACAGGCCCTGGGCTCCAGCACTCCCATCATCTGATCATGTGGATTCACCAGCCCTGATCTCTCTAGTCTCTACTGTCTTCCCTGCTCTGCACTGCCACCTCTCCCACTTCACAAGCATCACTCTGGCCAAGGGTCATAGCCTCCTAACCTATAGATGTCACTGGATCCGGATGTGTTCAGTCTGTAGTCCTGTTCTGTGAGCTGCCAGTTGTGCAGGTCTCCCTTAATGAAGCCAGAGATCATCATGAAGATTGGAACAAAAATGTTGATGCCTGTGAACACTTTGATGATCAGGGGTGATGCATAAAAGCCCAGAAGCATTACTCCTATGGGATAGGTGGAATATAAAACACTCAAAATAAATAAATCCGTAGAGAGAGAAATGAGACTAATGGTTGCCAGAGGCGGGAAGTTGCAGACTGCGGCGAGGACACTGACTGTTCAGTGGGTACCGGAAGCAGTCTTTCCTTTGGGGAGATGAACATGTTTAGAAGTATATGGAGGCAATGATTGCACAACATGGTGAATGTACTAAGCGCCACTGAATTGTACACTTTCAGATGGTTGATGTCGTATCTCACAATATATGTCTATGAAATCATCATCTTGTATAACTTATACAGTGCTATATGTCAAATATATCTAGATAAAGGTGGGAGAGTATAATAAAATTATTAATTTTATGCTATGAGGACTTCCTTTCAACTGAAAAACAAAGCATTCTTTGATCTCAGTACAGAGAAAGAAGCTTGTTGGTCTAAGTCAATGACTCTCAGCGGGGGTGATTTTGCCTCCCAGCCAGTTGGCACTGTCTGGAGACTTTCTGGGTGTCACAGTTTGGGGGCAGGGAGGCCATCACTGGTGTCTAGTGAGTAAAGGTTGGGAATGATTTTTATTCCACACCCAATACTGATTTTTTAAAAACCTTACAATGCATAGGATAGCCCCCTACACCAAGAATGATCCAGCCCAAATTGTCAACGGTGCCGAGAATAAAAAACAACAGTGTGTGTCCTTCCCTCCTGCCACCTTTCCTTCCAGTCCTAACCCCCCTCATTCTTCATCCAAGCCTTTCCATCCCCAGCTCCTTCTTCACACCCCACTCTTCTCATCCTATTTCTGTCCCCTTCTCACCGATCATCACCAGCAACAGGGCCAGAGCGACAAAGTCTGGGAACGTGGCCAGGAAAGAGGGCATGTACGGAGAGAAAGTCTCCTCTAACACCTGAGAGATGTAGTTTCCAATCAGGCTGTCAAAGGTGATGCTCCACACTTTGGACAAACTGGCAGTGCCTGTAGAGGCAAGAGAATATTCATTAACAAGGATAAATGATTCTTGACTATGTGCCGTGGGATATGTTATGAAAGAAAGACAAAGTACCTAATCTCAAAGAGTTTCTCCTCCTGGGGTGGGAAGAGCAGACCCAGACAACTCACAAAATAGGTCACTATTTGGTATAATTAGGAGGAGATCAATGTTATGCAAGACAAGAACACAGAAAAGTGGGACCAGGGAGGCTGGGAGATGAGAGCTGAAATTTTTAAATCATGTGGTAAAGGAAAATCCCACAAAGACAACAGCTGACCAAAAACTTCAATATGGTGAATGGATGAGCCTGTGGTCCATGCCTCCCTCTCATCCACTCCCTACAGTCCCTTTTCCTTCTGGTTTCCTGGATCATCATTTAAAGAAACAGGATAGACCTGAGTACAGTTAAGTTGTGGGGTTTTCCTGCCAATGTTATCCACCTCCCACACAAGGTAGATAACAAAGTGTGAATGAGAGAATATCCCAATCCTCCTCCCTCCTTGCTTCCTGATCTTAAGACCCACGCTTTCCCCCACTCCATCATCTCACCAATGACTAAATACAGGATGAGGTTCCAGCCAATGATGAAGGCGCACAGTTGTCCCATGGTGGCATAGCTGTAGAGATACATAGAACCAGAACATGGTACCTGGGCCCGTAACTCAGCATAGCAGAGACCACACATCACACAAGACAGGGCAGCCACCAAGAGGGAGATGATGGTCGCTGGTCCAGCTATGTATTTGGCCACAGCACAAGCCACGATGTACACACTTGCTCCCAAGGTGCTGGCCACACCGAAGCCCACCAGGTCCAGTGTGTTTAGATGAGCTGCAGGACTCTGAGACTCATCTATGGGCTCCAGTGGCCGCCTGTGGACCAGCTTCTGACCAAGTTGGCGAACATACTGACGCAGCATCCTTGACGGAGTTGGTATGATCTGCTGAGAATGCAAGACACAAAGTCATTAAGAACGATCATCCTAAACAACAAGGCCCTAACTGTGTAGCCCAGGAAACTCTATTTAATATCGTGTGATAAACCAGGATGGAAAAGAATGTGAAAAAAAAATGTGTATATGTATATGTATCACTGAATCTGTACAGCAGAAATTTAGCCTATCCCTTCTCCATCTTCCCAAACCAGGAATCAACCCAGGGTTTCCTGCATTGCAGGTGGATTCTTTAACAACTGAGTTATCAGTGAAGAGGCTTTAAACAACATTACTTCAAAAAAAAAAAAAAGTCCCATCTGCCCTTGATCCTGGGAGTCCAGTTCCACGGAGCAATGGAGTGATGGGGAGCAGGTGGTAAAAGGACACATTGATCAAGTTCTCTGTCTCTGAGCTTTGGCTCCTTAAGTGTAAATACAACTTTTAATATGATTCAAAATTACTGGAAATGTTGCTTGAAGGAAAGTAAGAAGGAGTGGATTCTATCTCCTCAAATGTACCCCTTTGGTGGGTAGACTGTTTTGAGCTGAAGGCAGTTAAGACCCAGCAGACTCTGGAGATGCTCCTTGCCTCTCCCTTGACTGCTCAAAATAGTTGGATTAGGGGACCTATGCCAGGAAGAGAGCTATTACCAGCGAGAACTTTTAATTTTTTTATTTTTTTCCTTATTATTTTTATTAGTTGGAGGCTAATTACTTTACAATATTGTAGTGGGTTTTTGCCATACATTGACATGAATCAGCCATGGATTTACATGTTCCCCATCCTGAACCCCTCTCCCACCTCCCTCCCCATCCCATCCCTCTGGGTCATTCCAGTGCACCAGCCCCGAGCACTTGTCTCATGCATCCAACCTGGACTGGTGATCTGTTTCACACTTGATAATATATAACTTTTTAAACTCAGAAAGTCTTCCCTGCTTGGAGTGGCAAGCATTTGTTCACCGAGCATTTGCTCTTCCCATCTTCCTTTGAGCCGTCTTCCTCCCCTTTGAAGCCCCAGATTCTTCCTTTTTTATGTTAAACTCATGATACCATATAAGCCTCCATTGCTTGACTCTCTTGAGCCTCAAGTTTTTATGGGGCTCTCATACATAACAATCCACCTGCAGTGCAGGAGAATCTGCCTGCAATGCAGGAGACCTCCGGTTTGATTCCTGGGTCAGGAAGATCCCCTGGAGAAGGGAAAAGCTACCCACTCCAGTATTCTTGGGCTTTCCTTGTGGCTCAGCTGGTAGAGAATCTGCCTGCAATGCAGGAGACCTGAGTTCGATCCCTGGATTGGGAAGATCCCCTGGAGAAGGAAAAGGCTACCCATTCCAGTATTCTGGCCTGGAGAATTTGGGGTCACAAAATGTTGGACATGACTGAGTGACTTTCACTTTCACCATTTCACATACATAGAAAGTTAAATTTGTTGGTTTGTCTCACATCAATTTAATTATTAGATCAGCTGAAGAACCTAGATAAGTTTTCTGCTTCTTGGGAAGAAAAAGCCTCAAATGCAGTGTTGATACACAGAAGCTGCTTAACTGGTATAAGCTGAGTGGATAAAAGGGGCTTCCCACGTGGCTCGGTGGTAAAGACTCCGCCTACCAAGGCAGGAGATGCAGGAGACAAAATGGCAACCCACTCCAGGATTCTTGCCTGGAAAAGTCATGGACAGAGGAGCCTGGCAGGCTACAGTCCAAGGGGTCACCAAAAGTCAGACATGACTGAGCATGCATGGATGAATAAATGAACGGTTTAATAAATGAATGGTTAAGAATATGATTTTTTAATTGAAATCAACCAGCTCTGGAACATAATAATTTTTCTGAGTTTTCACAAACTACATACCACCTTTGCCTTCCTTTCCTGTATAATGCAGGGAAGATTGTCATCATCATTATTTCATCCCCTCTTTGATACATGTGAAGTGACTGTTTTAGGAGCTTGGTAATCAAAGAGCTCAGACTCTGCATAGTTTTTCACCAAGGATCCTGAAACCTGAGAGCTTCTTGTTTTGTTGCTTGCAGAGTTACGTGGAATAAGAACTCTGCTTTGGGGCAGAGTGAGGTGGAATTTGTAGGAGGGACAGACTCTAGACTAGCTCTGTCATAGCATCAAACCAGAGACGTCTCCCAACTGCTTGGAAGGAGGGGGACCAACCTTCATTCTGAATCAGAAATGACAGGATTCTGTTTCCTGCTCCTTTGCGACCTGAAATGCCTCCTCACCACGTGGCTCTGCAGGGCTAGGATGACCCAGTGACCACGAGTTACCTTCAGGGGGCTCTCTTCCAATACTCTTAAGTCCAAGCCCAGCATTTTGGTTAAGAGCAAAGTTAAGAACCCAGGAGAATATTATTAGAATATTGGCTTCCTCAACACTTCTGTGCCTTTGAAGAAGTCGTTCACTTCTCCAGACCTCCATTTTCTTCTAGATTATGTTCTGCTGATGAATCCTTGTGCATATTAAATGGTGCATCTGTTGTGGCATTCCTCCAAAAGCTAAAAGTGGATTGATTTACCATATGATCCATTCACCCTATGGGTGTATACCCCAAAGAATGGAAAATAGGGTCTCAAAGAGATATTTGTACACTCGTGTTCAAAAGAGTGTTATCACAATAGCTGAAAGTTGGAAGCAACCCAAATGTCCTTCCTTGAAAGAATGGATAAGCACCATGTGGTCTATATATGCGGTGGAGTATTATGCAGTCTTAAAAGACAGGAAATTCTGATGTGTGCTACAACATGGAGGAAGCTTGAGGATATTATGCTAAGTAACCTCAGCCAATAACAAGAAGACAAATACTGCATGATTCCACTTCTGTGAACTTGCAAGAGTTATCAAATTATAGAGACAGGAAGCAGGATGGTGGTTTTCCAGGGGCTGGAGTGAAGGGCGAAGTGGAGAGTTATCATAAAATGGGGGCAAAGTTTTAGTTTTACAGGATTAAAAATGATCTAGAGATTGGCTGCACAACAATGTAAATACACTTAACATTATTGAACTGTATACTTAAAAACAATTTTATTGGGGGGTAATTGCTTTACTATGTTGTGTTGGTTTCTGCTGTACAACAACATGAATCAGCTGTAACTATATATGAGTTCCTCTCCCTCTTGACCTTCCCTCCCATCCCCCCATCCCACCCCTCTAAGTCGTCACAGAGCGTCAGACTGGGCTCCCCATGTTATACAGCATCTTCCCACTAGCTATCTATTTCACGCATGACAGTGCATACATGTCAGTGTTACTTCTTCAACCTGTCCCCACCTCTCCTTCCCCTGCTGTACACTTAAAATCATGAAGATGGTTAATTTATGTCATGAGCATCTCACAACCATTTAAGAAATTGATGCCAATGATAAATAATACAGCCAGCTTCACAGAGTTCCCAGGTGTAGAAAAAACAAAAATTACTTAATATAAATTACCATGCAGTAGTCCTCTACACATACCCAAATCCGCAGTTGTTCACATTGATACAGTTTCCCCAATATCCACAGAGGAGGAACCCATAAATTTGGAAGGCCAACAGTATACAGGAGACTGAAATCAGTGATTCACATAATGGAAACCCTATATAAAAGTTTATAATAATAAAATTTTATTAAAATTTTATAAAAAGTTAATGAAAAATTGTTGTGATAGTTTCAGGTGGACTGCAAAAGGACTCAACCAAGCATATACATGTATGTATATATATACATGTATGTACACACACACACACACACATACATGTATCCATTCTCTCCCAAACTCCCCTCTCATCCATATGCCACATAACATTGAGCAGAGTTCCCTGTGTCTACAGTATGTCTTTGTTGGTTATCCATTTTAAGTATATCAGTGTCTGCATGTCCATCCCAAACTCCCTAACTATCCCTTCCGCCCATCATAAAGGTATTCTTTCATATCATTTCAACATCAGTCTAAAAAGAGTCTCCCGAACTCCAGACTTGATCCAAACCCCCGCCCCATCCCTTCTCTCACAAACACAATAGTTCTCAACTCCTCCTCCTTTCAACTAAAAAATGGGTCTCTTCCATTAGGCTGGAGCCAGGCTGACCCCTTGCACTCTGGGATTGCAGAGGTCTCTTTGGGAAGATGTGAACTCAGCACCCAGTTTCCCACAGAAGAGAGTGACGCGAGACTTACTGGATCCTTGGAGCAGAGCCTGGATCTCAAGGTCAGTCAGGGAGGCTGAGGTTAAGCCGTGCGGGGCTGGAGCTGAGACATCTCCAAGAACTGAAGCGGGGAGTCCTGAGCACAGAAGACAGCCCTCATTCGCGGGGTTGTAGGGGTGGGGATGGGGCTGGGCGGGCGGAGAGCATCTGCCGTGTTGCTATCAGCTCTTGACTCTTCTCTGGTTACCCTTGGGGGAAGTTCTCAATTTTTTTTTTTATCTTAAAATACATATTGCATTACATTTACCATTTTAGCCATCTTTCTTTTTTTTTTTCCATTTATTTTTATTAGTTGGAGGCTAATTACTTTACATCATTACAGTAGTTTTTGTCATACATTGAAAAGAATTAGCCATGGATTTACATGTATTCCCCATCCCGGTCCCCCCTCCCACCTCCCTCTCCACCC